GGGCCCTTGCATAGCATTCTCGGAGCGGAGACGTCTATCTTCCAAGCACTCTCCCATTCCATAGGGAGTAGGGAACTTCCATTTCTGATGGTAGGAGGAAGGTACTGACTTGAATGTGTGGATGGCTGGCCTCCCCAGAATGATGTTGTAGGGTGATGGCCTGTCGACGACGAGGAACTTGATTAGTTTCGTGATTCGACAGGGGTCTTCCCCTAAAGAAACAGGCAGCTCCACTTCTCCCATTGACAAAATGCCTTCTCCTGTGAACCCTTTCAGGGGTGTGGAGATGGGACTAAAACGGGCATTATCTATGCCTAGCTGCTTAAAAGCATGGAGGTACATGATGTCAGCTGAGCTCCCACCATCCACTAATATTTTCTTGACCAAGAAGTTGGCCACCGTTGTTGTTACCACTAATGCGTCGACATGGTCTTCCTCTGGACCTTCAAGGTCGGAGGAGTTGAAGACTATACTGTGATCAGGTCTTCGTATTTGATATACGCGTTCGGATGGAGAAGCGCGTTCTTGATTCATGCGCGCTGATCGAGCGAGTGTGCGTCTTGCATTATGTGAATCGCCTCCCGCCGGTCCCCCGGAGATGAAGGAGATGATTCCTCGGGTAGGCTGGTTATCATTGTTATCTAGGTCACGTCGGTGACCCCCATCTTCTCGTCTTTGTTGTTGATCTCGGTTGTTATCTCGGCGTGGAGGATCATCACGGCGTTTATTTCGCGGCTTATCGACGTATTCGCCTAAATGGCCCTGTTTGATCAGCCTCTCAATCGCCATTTTAAGTTGTGCACACTCTTCCGTAGTATGCCCTCTGTCCTTATGGAATCGACAATAACGATCCGATTTTTCTCGCTTTGCGTTTGGCTGCATAGGACGTGGAGGTTCTGCTAAACCTTTCTGCTCTATCACGTGAAGGATTTCTGTGAGGCGAGCGTTTAGCGGAGTGAATCTATTGTAGGAGGAAGAGGGTTGGCTTTGAGGTGGAAGTGGTGGACGTCGGTCGTCACGTCTCCTATTGTCTTGACGGTCATCTTCTCTTTTCCTTTTAGGAGGAGCGTGGGTAGAGGCTTCCTCTATCCTGACGTATTTTTCGGCTCGATTCAGCAACTCCTCTAAGTTGCCTGGGGGTCTTCCGGCGATAGATTCTTTGAATCTACCAGGTTTCAAGTTCTGCTGCATAATCCCGGAAAGCATGTCTTGCCCCACACTGGGGACTTCGTGGACGGCCTCTACGAAACGCTTAATGTAGTTGCGGAGCGTTTCGTTATCTCTCTGTACTACAGAGAAAAGATGAGCTGGGGTCTTGGCGTATTGTTTGTTGATGGCGAATTGGTTGGTGAATCGGGTCGACAACCGAGCGAAGGTGTCTATGGACCCTATGGGTAGGGAGTTGAACCAATTCATTGCCCTCTTGGAGAGAGTGGTGCGGAACATCTTGCACATCGCAGCATCTGTTGGGCCATACAAATCCGCCATGGCACTGAATTTCTCTATATGCTCCTGTGGGTCGGTGGTCCCTTCAAATTGAGGTAACCCCGAGATCTTTACTCCATGAGGCAATACCTCGTTGAGGATGTCTGTGGTGAAAGGACTGCGTCTTGTTGGGAGAGGCATTCTTTCACCCATTTGATTATTTGGTTGGGAGAAAGGGTTTTGGCGAGACATTCGGCTGTTTACTTCGCCTTCTCCCTCATTAAAGAGAGGGACTCTCGGTGGTGATGCGTTCCCCCGTAGGGGTGAGCGCCGACGTTGCTGTCTGGGCTGTGCTCCTCTGTGGTTAGTAGATAGCTGCACTCGGGACCGTGGGTCCGACGTAGAGGAGGAGACGCTTATTTGATTTTGGATTGGCGGTGGAGCCACAGGTGGTACTATAGGTGGAGCTTGTGCCGGTATCGCATTGGGAGCGTTCGCTCCCATCGTGGCGATATATTGAGTTACGGCCTCCGTGGCGGCGCGAGTAGAAGCTTCCGCTATCATGCGTTGGAGCGCGTCCTCGGTTATTTGAACCGTTCGAGGAGCAGGGAGTGGTGGATCGGCGAGTGGTGGGTCCCGAGGAGGGATCACCTGAACCTCGCGAGGTGGGTCTGCAGCACGTGTAGGAGCTGGCTCCGTAGCACGTGGAGGAAGTTGTTCCGCGGCGCGTGGAGGAGGTGGGATGCCAGATCCTCCACGGGTGGGGAGGTTATTAGCTGTGTCGTTTTCTCTCCGAGCTGATGCCTCAGGAGGATCTTGTTGGCTACGTGATCTGGTTTGCATCGTTCCCACAGACGGCGCCAAAATGATGATGCTAATGTGTAGCTCACCTAGGGAGTATAGGAAACAAGTTGGGAGAGCAAAGCTGATCAGTAGCTAGTCAATTCGATGCTCCTGAGGTCCCTACAAAATAAGCACACGTGAACTAAGCCGGGGGTTGATCCGGCGGAAACCCCTCGTTCGGCTGATCCTCCTGTACGAATCGTAAAGGGAATAGAGAGAATAAACTCGTGGTGGATAATCAATAATGAGAACGTACCTTTACAAATGAATAAAACTTCTATTTATATGTCGTTGATTGAGTTGGGCTTATTTTGTTGGGCCCAAGCCTTATTTTGAAGGTGCTTGGGCTTTCGCGTAATGGTCCCAAATACTTTCGTGTATTGGGCCTAATTGTTAAATGAATTGGGGCCCATTGGGTCGGCCCAATTAGGTATATCATTAAATGATGATGCTAATGTGTAGCTCACCTAGGGAGTATAGGAAACAAGTTGGGAGAGCAAAGCTGATCAGTAGCTAGTCAATTCGATGCTCCTGAGGTCCCTACAAAATAAGCACACGTGAACTAAGCCGGGGGTTGATCCGGCGGAAACCCCTCGGCGTTCCCGGGTTTGTGTACGAATCGTAAAGGGAATAGAGAGAATAAACTCGTGGTGGATAATCAATAATGAGAACGTACCTTTACAAATGAATAAAACTTCTATTTATATGTCGTTGATTGAGTTGGGCTTATTTTGTTGGGCCCAAGCCTTATTTTGAAGGTGCTTGGGCTTTCGCGTAATGGTCCCAAATACTTTCGTGTATTGGGCCTAATTGTTAAATGAATTGGGGCCCATTGGGTCGGCCCAATTAGGTATATCAACGAGTTATAAACTGATGGGCCCTAATTAATTAATTAATTAATTAATTAAATAAATAAATAATTAATTAATTAATTAATTAATAGGAGCAGGGGCTTATGCATGGCAAAACCAGTATAGAGTATAGACCATTCATGCATGTACTAGCTTGACAAGCTATGATCAGGTTCATATAAATTAGCACCCAGACAAAGTACGTACGATCACCCTAATTAATTTAAACACACACTCATAATTTATCACTGTAAGCATTCTGCATAGATAATTAATGTCTGGTTAGACCATATATTATACTGAGCACGTGATGATCACGTGACCATATCCCTTAGTACATAAATATTTGGATTAGGAGGGTTTATTGCATTAATTAGCACCCCCGTTGTTTGAGATCATATCCAATTTTTTTTTTTTCGAAAAAATTCGGATTTTTTATTAATTAATTGTGCAAAATGTCAACTTACATTACAAGCACAACATTTCACAAGCCCACAAATTAAAAACTCGTTGCCATTTGGGCACGCGTACATATCAAACAATTGTTGTGAAAGACACTCCGATCCATTGGGTTATAAGTGAACGGACTAGGAATTTCGTAAGAGAAGGAATGTGGATTCGACGTCTTTATCCAAGACCATATTCTAATTTTAATATCTTCTACCACGCTGCTTCAGTTGATGTGTATATATCTATCTTGAAAAATCGTTGAGTTCCTTGCTTTCTAATATTTGTAACAAAAGTGATTCAATATAATGAATATATAGATATAGATACTAAATGCAATATAATTAATGAAATAATAATAATAATATATAGATACTAAATTGAATATAATACATAGATATAGATACTAAAAGCATCATAGTGGAGTGTTATTGGACCACCTTTGTAAGAAAACTTAAATGAAATTAGATCAAGTTGGGGGTGGGGAGTTGTGTTTGAAGCAAAAGGAACTAAGTTAATGCCATGTATGTGTGGTGGTGGGCAATTTTTGAGATCTTTTCGTCTTTTAATTTGTATATATATATATATATAATTAATTACGTCGCATAATATATAAATTTAAATTAAAAAAAAAAACTACTTGCCCGTATATTGTAATATTAAAAGCGTAGATGCATGTGTTTTGTAATTTCTTTTTTACTTTTTTATAATATTTTTATACAATAAAATCGACGTTGCAAAAAAAATATATTTATCACATACAAATGAACCACTGGAAAACAAAATATTTCATATTCTTCCAATTTCCGACTCATAAATTCATAATCATAGCCATTATCGTGACTAGTGTTTGAGGGGTTATGTAATATTAATGGTTAATATATATATATATATATATATATATATATATATATATATATATATATATATATATATATATATATATATATATATATTATGAATAAAAAAAAGAGGACCATACAAAAAGGTGACATTGTTTCTTGATATACGCCAACAGGTTTCTGACATTTTGTATATTATTTATTTTATATGAGGAAGAGTTATCAAAATCCACAAACATTCTCTGGTCTTGATTTAAAGTTTTTCTCTTAAATACCCTATATTTATTTTCAATTAGTTATGAATTTTGACTTATCTTGTTCACTATAGCTTTTGGTCAAGGTTTTATTTAACTTTTTATTGTATTAATTTGAATTAAGGTTTTTAAGATGGGTATGCCAAGAAAAAACATAACACACATCATTCATTACAAGTGTTACATATATGGGGCTCTTTGAGAAAACCCCCTCATTATTTTTTTTAATTGAGGGAGGCCCAAAATATTTTAGTCCATTTGAGAAAAGTTCAAACTCATTTTCAGCCATTATGCTTTCCAGCTTTGCCCCCACCCGCCACATCATCACTGGGTCACGCTCAACAATTTTTTTTTTTTTCCGTTTTTTTTCTTAATCGACTATGAAGCATAGTCGATTAAGCCTTAATCGACTATGCTTCATAGTCGATTAAGGAAATTATTTAATTATTTAATTATTATTTTTTTTTTAATTTTTGTTTTATATCAGTTATAGTAATCGACTATGATGTGAAGCATAGTCGATTAAGAATCTGCTACTAAAAATAACAAATTACAACTGCGAAAAAAAAAACAAAATCAACTATATATAACAAAAACAAAAAAATATACAAATATTATAAATGATTTATACAATTGAAAACAATAAACAAAAAATCCAAAAAAAAATAAAAAAAATTGGGAGTCGGGGGAACCTTAATCGACTACCAGAGCATAGTCGATTAGCTTAATCGACTATGATCATGTACATAGTCGATAAAGGTAACAGCCTGCCCGAAATTCTCACACGGCCCTTATCCGGTCATCCAAAAGATACCTCAATACAGCCGCCCCAATGGTCACCACAACACCCAGAGCTTCTGCCATGGCCGAACCCGTCAGGTTTTGAGCATGTTCAGCTCCACCAAGGTCCCGGTCTCCTCCCTGTAATGTTCTTCTCCGGCAGCGGCGGCGGCGGAGGCGGCACCACCGTCGCTGCTGAACCACCCGCTCTCCTCCGATGAGGTGCTCGTGTGATGCCTGCTCGGGATGTTACTATACTTATTTTTCTTCTTCTTCTTGTTCTTACTTTTCCCGCAGCAGTAGTTTTCCTCAACCGAAGAAGGCGGCGGAGCCGGCGGCAGAAATGGCAGGTCGTCTTCAGATGCTGAGGAGTTGCAGATTTTCCGGCGATGAATGGGCTGTTCACACATCTTGGCGACGACGTGCCATTTGTCTTCCTTCTGCCACTTGAGTTCTTCGTCGGAGGTTTGTTGCAAGCCACAGGCAGCGCCGATGGATACGAAGGCGGAGGAAGCGTGGTGCTTGAAGGATTGACCGCGGTGGCTGCCACGGCGGCGGTCCAGTTCATCGGCGTTGAGTCTAGAGAATGAAAGGGCAGGATCTTCGGGGAGAATGGATGGGGCTGAGATGCTGAAAAAATAAGAAAGAAATTAGGGTTTCAAAATAATACATTGACAAATAAGGGTAGATTTGGAATTATAAAAATAACATTTGGTGAAATCCTAACTAAGGGGGTTTTCTCTAATTATTTTTGGGAGGGGGAGTTTCCTTAACTATATTTCCTAGATGAGGGGGTCTTGCTAACAATCCCTACATATATTATATATATGTATGATTTAATCTCAAGTTATTTCCATAAACAAACTCCAACGAACTTATTATGAAATGTTCTAACTCAGTAAAAGTTAAAAAGAATTTATTACGGCTTTTTTTTTTTTTTTTTTTTGGTTTTCTTGAAAGCATAAATTTTCTTATCTTTCTATATCTATATTTTGAATTATATTGATATCTTATCTTGCTACATCGAATTATATATGTTGGATGAGGTATCATAAATTATCATGACTTACTTTGATACAATAGAAATAATAATATATATATATATATATATATATATATATATATATATATATATATATATATATATATATATATATATATATAATTTACTTAACATTCTCTATTTACTTTACTGTAGGATTAAGAGCCTGTTTGGCTAAGCTTATAAGCTTCTAAAAATATCTTATAAGATGGTTAAGAGCTTATAAGCTGTTTAAAACTGTTTAGTAACAACATTAGAAAAATCTTATGTTTTTTTTCCAAAAATAAGCTATTAGAGAGCTTATAAGATATTTTTAGAGAAGTACATCTACCCCACATTTTTTCTGTAAGGTCTTACTTGATTATTTACTAAAACGCTCAAAATACGAAATTACCCTAAAATACTTTATTATATTACACGAATACTAATAACATTTATATTTTATCAAAAAAACGTATTCTTGTAATCAATATTAATTATTAGTTAAAATATAATTATCATAGTAATTGCAAAAAAAATTGTTCTCTATTTACATTTTATATGTATATAAAACACTCGAATATTCTTATTATCTCAATAATAAATTATATTTCTTTCATCCATCAAAAAAATTACATTTCTTTTACAACCTTTATTTTATATTAATATATTAATTTTATATTATTATTTTTATTTGTAAAATTAATTTATAAATATTATAATAATATTTTAGGAACAAAAGTATTTGAGTCAAATAACTTTAATATTTATAATGGTGTCATTTACTTTTTTGTCATTATAACAATAAACATACCTTTTATTTCCAAACACCTAAACAACTTATAAGAACTAATATTACAAACACCTTAAACAATAATTTTTAAAATAAGATCTAACAGCTTATCAGCTCCTAAAATATCTTATCAGATGTATGAGCTTATAAGATGTTTTAAATAACTTTAGCCAAAACGGAATCTAATGTAGAAATTTTAACCAAAGTCTTAGGCTATTTAAAAGAAAATTATACTATCATAGGGATCCTCTAAGTAGCCTGAAGCTTAGGCTGCCTGCGTCTGGATTTATCTTGAGCCGTGCCCTTTCTTTTTTTTCTTTTTTTTTCTTTTTTTTCT